ACTCTTTTTGATTTCTTTAATATTGCACTAATAAAGAAGTGAGTCTTGTTACTTGGTGTTGCCCAATTGCCGGAGCGATTCCCCGCAGCCAGGCAGGCCTCCCAGCTCCAGCTCTTCCGTCCGAACATTACATATGAAACAGCATGGGAAGCTGCTACCAGCTGAACTAATAACGTAAGTAGCAGAGAGAAGATAATACACCGAGTAGTTTCTCCAGAAAAATAAAAGAGAGGGCAGTGAAACAAGTGCCAGAATCAGCAACAGCCGGTGCCTCGAAGCGATGCAGCTTTAGCCGTGCTAACAGTTCAAAGCCCTCCACCGTGGAACGACCGCTAGCCGGAAAAAGCGGAAGCACTGTTAGCATGTTTTAGACTGAAAGCCCGGAAAAGCGCTTACACTTGAGACGAGCAGTATGAGGACCACGACAAGATGCCGAAAGGCCACATACAAGTTCCTTAAAGTCCACCAGCCCATCGCCATTTACATCGAACGCACGAAACAGGCCATCGATGAAGCAATCGGCTATGGCTCCTCCAACCAGTGCGCCAAAACCATTTCTGGTTAGTTTACATAATTTGGTGTCATTGATCGAGCCGAACACTTTTTCCAGTTCTTCCACTTCGCCTTCGTCAACTGAAATTTTCAAAAAACTGAAGCCAAACATGCGACTCGTGTAATTCGGTCCAATAAGAAAACGCCACGCCATCAAAGACATGTAGTCCTCTAATTTCTGGATAGGAAGATACGCTAATACAAAAAAAGATGAACCCTTTCCCTCCTCTTGTAAATTCGAACCGTTCAAAATAAATGATTTCCGTAGTTACGATTTTAGAATAGAGCAAACACAGAATTTTTGAGTGCTCGCAACCACGTAAGCGCCAAAAGGTATACGGCGGCACAATTAAGTTCTGCATCGACCACCACCGAGTAATGCCAAATTAATTACTTAAAATGAGCTAAATTAATTAAGATGAGAAATAAATGGGCTTAATTAATTGAGCTAATGGGCGGTCAACCTACAAATTACTATTATTTTTAAAATCTGAGAGTTTTGTTATTTAAATTGCTGGCGTTTTTTGAATTTCCCGGAATCCCCGGTATTTCGAGATTTTTCATTGCCTTGTGGAAGAAAAAAGCACTCGAAAAAACTGAGAAGCCAGCAGCACAACATTTAGCAACAGACTTTACGTGTCAGCGGGTTCCTACGGGCTTCTTTTTGACTTCGCAGTATAATATAGACATAGTCTGGCACATGTCTCAGCAAATGACGGACGATGTAAGTCATAAACTAAACTATGTGAGGTGCTGTAGGGGCACAGACTTGGCGAAATTTCCCTGTATATCAATGAGGTTGTGTCTCAACGGAGATAAAAAGATGTCAGCAACTTCACGCCAAGATAGAGACATGCTGGAAATTAAATCTAATTTCAAGAGAGAGGAAACATCCCCGAAAAAATTTAGCTTCATATTTTGCCTAGTCTTCGAGTTAGAAAATTTCCTCCCAAGTCTTTTACACCTCTGCATATGAGGGCTGTATTTGGATGCTGGAGTTGAATTTTTAGAATCACACATTAACAGGAAATACAATATGAATTTCAGGGGTCGGAGATGGACAGGAAACATCTTCCTAAAATTTCAGCCTTCTATTTCGTTTGGCTTGAAATTCCAGGCTCGCGCATAGAGAACATCCTCCCAAAACTTCAGCTTTTCATTCTGTCTGGCCTCAAGTTAGAAAATTCTCCGCCAAAACTGTGGGTAGACCAAGACACAAAGGGAGATGAAGTACAAAATACAAACGAAGAGACTGAGAGCGACAGAAACAATGTGATACTAAATAACAGACAATTTTGCACCTAGGACTGCAATTTTAGCTATAATGTTTTAAAAGTAAATGAAAGCATTAAAAGACAGGACTGAAAGGAACTGCCTGAACGGGCCACTTTGAATCTGACTGGGACATCCCGTTTGTAATGTGAGTCCGCAACACTCAAAACCACGTAATCGAATCCATGCTGCTTACCGTTCCTCTCGTCCTCCCCTCCCCCCTACCGTCTGCCTCCTGCCCCTTC